GAGCATTGACTGAAGTAGTACTCATTTGTTATTATTAAATAAACTGTCAACTGATCGATACTCTTCTAAAACTAATTATAAAATAAGCCTTCTGCTTACCATTTAAAAATATTGCTTTGCTTATCACTTATAAGCATCTTAAAAAACTGATTATAACAATATTATAACTTTAATTATATCATTAAAAATATTTATTATTTAAAATAAATAATATACAAATGAATTTTTTCTTAATATAATATTATATTTAATATAAATTAAATATTAGAATTTTTAATTTAATTTAATTTTATTAAAATCAAATTATAAATCAAATATTTGATCTAAAGAATTTTAATAAAAATGAGTTATATATTTTATTTTTAATAATAAAAAAAATGATAAAATAATTTTTTATTAACTATAATTAATTAACTTATAAATAGTTGTGTTATTAATAAATAAGATAGTTTAATAAGATTTTGGTATAATTTTACTATTCTTATAAGTTTGATATAAATCTACTAAAATGTGTATTTTTCATAACACATGATACGTGTCCTTTCTAAATTATTTTTTTTTTTTTTAATAAACTTTATTAGAAAGATTGAAAGCTTGTAAGGAAATTTTTTATGTCGGGATATTAACCTTTATACCTTTCCTTCTCTCTTCAAAGCCTCATACAAAGTCAAAGCCGATAACGCTTTCATATCCGGAATCTTCCACAACTCACTCAGCTTCGTTAACCTTACAACAATATTTTCATCATGATCTCTCAGTCCTCCTAATTTGCCTTCCAACTGCACTACATCGCTCCTTTTCATATCCTTAATACACAAACATAACCTTATAAATTCATCACTACCACCAGGAGATGGATAAGCGCCTTGATATTGATTTCCATAAGCCAATCCCGTCATATCAATTAAATCTTGATCTTTAATTATAATACCTGTTTCTTCCTTAATTTCTTCGCTTGCTTTTCCGGTAAAATTGCCCGATCCATCAAGCATACCTAAAAAAAAAATGTATTTTAAAAATTATTATTATTATTTTGATCAATTCAAAAGAAATTTTTTGATTTATTTTATACCGGCAGGTATCTCTAAAAATGCAAAGGAAGGAACGGCTATACGTGGTTGTTGAGTTAATACAACATGTTCCGTCATATTATCATCTTGATCTTTAGAACGAAGGATTAACAAAACTGCTACAGAACCTCCTCTCTACAAATTCGAATTTAATTCATTGATTGACCAAAAAATAATTAATTATAAATTTATAAAAAATTTAATTCTTTGTTAACAACCATAAAAACTATTCCGGGAACACTTTGGCCATTCTCGATTAATCTCGCGTCAACTTTAAATTTAACAAAACCTATTCTGGGCCCAAAATAATCTACATTTTGTATTTCGACCTTTCGAATTTCAATTTCTTTCTTTTTCGCAGAATGGGTTTCTTTGGATATAGCGGAAATCCAATCTTTAAAAGGGTTAAACTCAAGAACAGTAGTAACGTCGATATTAGGTTGTCCTGCTGTTACAGGCACTTTAATTCCAGCTATATCAATAGTGTTATTATTATTAGTCATTTCGGTCGTTCGTAGTCGTATAAAAGGTTTATTTCGAACAAAAAATTGATTTCGATAGAATAAATTGCTTGAAATGGTGGTGTTTGTAAAACGAAAAATTTTATACATGTGAAAATGTTCTAAGAGATAATGATCTATTTATTAAAAAAATAGGTGGCTTAAAATTTATAGGATCCAATCAATTTTTAATATAACGAAAGTTTTTTGTGTGACGACATAATTAGTATAATATAAAAAGTTTATATAAAATAAAATAAAATAAATTTCATCAAGCATAATATTGTAAAGATGTCTTCTTCTTTGCCATCACTTCTTGAATACCTGTTGAATAATTGGACAACACGTTAAAATATAATTCAACAACTCAATATTAATACGGTGCACATGAAACTTACCATCCATAAAATCCTCATGACTCAATTCGGTTGCTCCTCTCCTCAAAGCCAACATACCGGCTTCTACGCAGACCGCTTTACATTGAGCTCCATTAAATTCATCACAACAACGTGCCAATTCTTCATAATTGACTTCTGCTCTAACAGTCATTTTACGTGAATGAATTTGAAGTATGCGTGCACGCGCTTCTTCATTTGGAAGTGGAAATTCTATCTTTCGATCAAGACGTCCTGATCGTAAAAGCGCAGGATCCAGGATGTCAATACGATTTGTAGCGGCAATTACCTATAATGTATAAACTATTTTGAGAATTCTCTACCATCTATAATGTACACGTATATTAAAAATATCAAAGTACAAACTTTTATTCTTTCATCACTACTAAAACCGTCAAGTTGATTCAACAATTCCAACATAGTTCTTTGTACTTCACGATCACCACTTTTCTCGCTATCGAAACGTTTTGTTCCTATGGCGTCCAATTCATCAATGAAAATAATAGCGGGCGCTTTTTCTTTAGCCAAGTTGAAGGCGTCCCGAACAAGTTTGGCACCATCACCAATAAACATCTTCATATAAAAATAGGGAGATTAAATATCGATGAGAAGATTTACAATCAAAAAAAAAAAAATTATATCCACCTGAACAAGTTGTGGCCCAGCCAACTTTAAATATGTGGATTGAGTTTGAGCCGCACAAGCCCTTGCCAGTAATGTTTTTCCGGTACCGGGTGGCCCATACATTAATACTCCTGAAAATAATAAATAAAATGAACCCTCTGGATAAGGATTTTTTTAAAAATTTTCAAAAGGTTTTACCTTTTGGTGGTTTAATACCCAAATTTTTGAACCTTTCAGCATGTGTCATTGGCAATACGATTGCCTCCACCAATTCTTCAATCTGTTTATCTAAACCACCAATGTCATTATAGTCTTCGGTCGGTTTCTCATCGACTTCCATTGCTTTAACACGTGAATCATATCTGTAAAATAACATTAGGTTAGTCAGCTATTAAAATTTTTCGATAGTCATATACTCGAAATATTTATTAAACTAACTTACTCGGCGGGTAATGTATCTAAAACCAAATAGCTGTCTTTGTTTACACCGATTAAGTCTCCCGGTTTTAAAGTAGCTGGATCAACGAGACCGATTAGAGGCAAGAAAATTGTCTAAAAATAATACAAGATAATACTTCTACAAATCTCCACGGAATAAAAAAATTCATTCTCCAAGATAATGATACATATTGAAATCTCATGTACCTGTCGAGTTGAGGTTTTAATGACGGCACATTTTCCTTTTCGAACTGCATCGAGGTCAACATTGGCACCATCTTCCTCGGGCTCATCGTTTGGATCCATATCGAGCAACTGATATTAAACGAATCTTTAGAAATGAGATAAAACTAATCAAGGTAAACGCAAAAAAAAAAAATAAATAAAGTTTTTTAAAACGTACCTCAACAACGTTACCTACAAGGTAAGGCAATTGCTTATTGACCTTTATCTTGTCCTTATTATCTTTTATCTTTTCTTTCATGTTGTTTTGTTCGTGTGTCAAGCGCATATGCTCAGATTTCATCATCTGTATAACCGATTCGAAATTAATTAAAAAGAATTAACTGGCTAAATAAAATTAAAGCAAAAATCGTGCCATTTGAAAGAAATAACTGTCTTCAATTGAAAGTTAGCTGTATTAAAGTCACGACCGCACTATAATTTCTTCACGATCACCTAGATCGCAACAAGGAATGCTATTCCTAGTTCATTAAATAAAGTTATAATAAAGTTTCAAAAGACATTGGGAACTAACCTTGATATCATTCTCAAGCAAACGCGTACGTTTATTGATGTCCTCGGTGCTGGACTTCATGATATCAGCATCGAGATCATCAGGACCATCTTCCTCAACTTGATCCCAGATCGTCTTTTCCTTTTCTTCGAGAGCCATTTTATGCGTTTAATTAAAAACAAATGAAAAAATTGTTGGCTGGTTTTTTATCGAAACATTCAAAAATTTTTATATATTTCACCCAATTGATTTTGACAAATTTAGTCATGCATCTTATTCATCACATATCATCAGATTACGCAATTGATTTACGTATTTACTTACGTATTCCCTGTTTTTTTTTTAAATAAAAGATCGCACTAAAAAAATTTTTTATTAGTTTGTTATATTTTGTTATTAGAGGTTTAACAATAGATCAAACACATGGAGCAAAAATACAACTACTATAGCTATATATGAGGGACGAAACCACTTAATAATAGTCGAAACACAGATCATACGACGAAACCCTTCGGATATGTCGAAAGACGAGACTATATTACAAACATAATAAAGGGTATGACGAAATTATTATTTAATAGCAACTACATATATGAAAAGGTTCCAAGTTTAAGAAAGACCAATAGATCGTGCCAGGTTATTCTTGTTTTTACGATTTCACACTCAATTCTTTGATTTCACGTTGGTTGATAATCCATCAAAGGTATATGTATGTCTTGTAGTATTTTTGGAGAGCTTAAAGGTAAAGGACTCAACAATAAGGATGCTTAGAGTAAGGACTAATTGTCTACTAGAAAGCTTTATATATACAAATTTCCTTTGATCAGAAATTTCCGGTTTTTATTTACATATATTTTATAAATATAGAAACATACAAGACTGCTCGGAAAAAATCACTAACCTCCTCAACCGTTGCTTCAAACACGCTTTATCAAATGCAAAAAAGATCGCGTCAATGGGCAAATGAACCTAAAACCAAAATAATTATCTGTGCAGTTCATGTGTAGAAAATAAAATCGTGTCATTTTAAAAAATGTATTCAGCGATATTTAATAAAGTTATTAAAAGACATCATTCTATTTATATTTGTCACAATTGATATGACAATCTTATTCATCACGTATCACGTACTCCTTTAAATAGACGGTTTAAAATCAGGGGTAATAAATAAACACATCGCTCTTTTCTTCCTAGATACATCTTAAAATTTTTTTTTTTACTAATTATAGGTATAAACATGTCGGGAAAAAAGAATGTAAAACGAGCAGAAAACAGAAGAAAAAGCTCAACAACAATAGATATGGAAGCTCAGACTGATACTTTGTTTACAAATATTCGTAACACTCTCTCTGAATTGGAATGTGGTTTCGAAGATATTGATAGATTACTCGAACCTTTGCTTTCTCGGCCCTTGAGTGAGTTAGCTTCAAGTCTAGGACCGATAGACCGTGCAAGGTTATACCTGCTCTACGGTTTCACACTCAACTCTCTGATATCATGTTGGTTAATAATTATATATATTTATAATTTAAGTAATTTCGGTACAATCTAATCATTTTATACGTCTGGTATAGTATTTTTGGAGCTTAAAGGTCAGGATTCAAAAATAAAGATACTAGAGGAACAATATGTAAGTATTAATTTGTCCGATGGAAAATATATGAATTCCTTTGATTAAAATCATTTCCTTTTTGATATAGAAACGTATCCAAGATTGTTCAGAAAAAATCACAAATACCGTCAATCCTCCTCAACCATCATTATCAATCAATCGTAATGCTGCTTCAAGGTTCATAAAGCACGCCTTAACAAATCGTGATAATGATGCAAGAGAAAATCGTCGAGGTGGTGGATTAAAATGATTATTATTTATAAGCATTGTTAAAAACTTCCAATCCTTGGGACTTGACTTAATAAACTTAATGAAGCCGCATTTATTTTAAAATGAAAAAAAATTATTCCCAAAAGAAATTGGTGAAATACCATATTTGATTTTTAATATTAAAATTAATAAACCAAATGCATTCATTTCTAAAGTATTGTACTGTGCATTTTATAAGTCTTTCGTGTTTCTCGGAAATTTTCTAAATCATTTCAAACAAGGATCAAAGTGATCACTTGAAAGAATTCTTTTAATTCCAATTATAAAGATCGCACATATTTGTTTACTGATCAGTCTTTTTAAAACTAGCCCCCTTTCTTTTTTTTTTTTTTTTTTTAATTAAAAAAAAAAAGAACTCTGAATGTGACATAATTCCTGTCGAATAATTGCGTCGTATCTTATACTATATTTTTTCGTCAGATTCGGCTTTCGTCGTATCCCTTATTATGAGTTTCGTCTGAGTTTCGACTATTATTAAGAGGTTTCGTCCCTCATCTATATAGCCAATCGACTTGTATTACGTCAATCGACTTTTCAAATTTTCTAAAGCCAGTTCGTCTTTGAAGATAGAATTATCATTGAACGTGCAAGTTAAAAGCGTCTTTTTGGAGCATTTTTTTTTTCCTCATACTGTAATGAAACAAAATAAACTAAAAAGCGAAAGTTAATTACTCCTATTTGGATCTTATTAAATACGTTAATATGATGAACGGCCGTATAACACAAAATATACAGAATAATTCGGCACCACAACCGGTTTCGCGAAATAGTTGGAAATTTTATGATTATTGCTTGAATTTTATCAGATAAAAAAAAAAAATGTAAATAATTTAAAATTAAAAAAATAAAAGTATTTTTATTTAATCTAGAAACTTATAGTTGCGAAAGGAGCGTCCACTTTTAAAGAAAATAGTCTTTGAAACTCGTTCAAAGTTTATTTATAAAACTAGCATTATTTTCACTAAAGATCGGTGTATAAATTCCTTATCGGGGCTTAATTTGTTACGCAAAATAGGGGAAAAATTTTAGAAAAGAATTTTATTTAAAAATATTGATATAAACCATTAATATGAATTATATTATGTAAGAGAAATCTGTAAGAGAAGATAAAGTCTTAAGTCTGTAAGAGGTTCATGTTGAAGATGTGATTTAATCTTTCGTATTCAGAAATAACATCTTGCTTAATTATAAATGCAAAACATTTAAGAGATATGTTAACATTTTTTCAGGTTAAACATCTGCTAAGTGTAACATAAGTTTAGTCTAGGAGAGAAGATATTTTGGTTTAGTATAAGAGAGACTTTTGGTAAAGTTAAACCTTGAGTTTTATGAACAATAAGGGTAAAAGAATTCTGTAAAAAGAATTGATATAATAATAATTAGTTCTATTTATCTTGAAATAATGGATTTGTTTATAGATATTAATGTTGATTATAGATCTTTTTATAAAGAATGTAACATAGACATATTATTCAATATAATTAATATAATTAATGTTTATGATGATTTCTATAGTGTCGTTGTATATTCCTTGTTCTATAAGAGAGTTATTAAAATATATAACATAGTTATCTTATTGAAGACGAATATAAAGAGCTAAATTTATTTAAACATTTTGTTAAAAAATTGGTTATCTTATTATTATAAGTTAATGAAATCAATAGTTTATAAAAATAAGAATCTATTTTCAAAAACAAAAAGAATGTTACAAATTTTTATATTTATTTGTTATATAATTTCTCTAAAATCTATAATATGAGTAGTTTTAAAAGAATATTAATCAGTAGTTAATTTAAAAATTCTGAATAGCATTATTATAAAATATTTCAGGTTTCTGTAAAAATATTATTGATCTAAACTTTTGTAATATTTGATTAGAGTTCTAAAAAATAACTTGCATAAACTCGTATATTTGACTCATATGATTATATATAATTATAAATTTTTATTATATAATAAATAAGTATTTTAAAGTAAAGATATATAAGATAATTTTGACTTAAAACTCAAGAATAATAGATAGAATAATGATCAAGTAATTATGTAAAAAATAAGTTAACCAGTAATTAAAGAAATATTTTAATGCTAATTAATTTTGATAATATCAAAATTAATTAATATTTATTATAAATTATTAATAAAATAATTATATTTATCAAAATATGGGAGACGATCAATAGAAAAGGGGGAAATCTACAAATTTTGAGTAATTTTAGTTATTAAGCTAGTTTTTTTCACATGACTATTATCAGCAGCGTGAACCAATAAAAAAATTTTTGACTAAAAAGTGGATTTCCTCTTTTTCTACTGACCGCCTCCCATATAATTTAATTAGTAATTCATCAATTTGTATTGAAATATAATTAGAGAAAGTTGAGTAAAGTCTTTAATAAGAATTATATTTATTCTGTTAAAAGAGATAATATTATTATGAAAAATTGCAAAAATATCAGAAATGAAGTCAAAAAGATATCTAAAAACTATAAATGTTTTATTAATAATAATGATATTAATCTTTTTAAAAATGTTATGATCTTTATCTATGTAAGCTTTATACAAAATCTAGTATAAATTAATATGATCTGTAATACTAAATAAATAGTTATCCTCTAATATTATAAGCTGCTACTTCTATAGGAATAAGTAAAAGGTAAGAGGAAGATTATATATTAAACATATTTATAATTATATTAATTATATTAATAATATAGAACTTGCTAATTTCTATTGAGTCAGTTATAAAGTAATATAATTATTTGATATCATTATTTAGTTCTATATATAAGATTGCTAAATGAAACTTAGAGGTTTTGCACGTTGTCTAAATGAAAAAAGTTAAAATTTAGCAAAATTATAACAAAATTCTGAAAAAAGTAAAATTATATTAAAGCTTATAAAAATGCGAAACTATATCAAAACCTTAGTAAAAATTTAGCAAAATTATAGTTTAGACATCTAAAATGAGTTTAGATAAGTAACCTTACCTATATATATAAAAATAGTTAACAAAATGTGATATTAATATTATAGCAATTTAAGTATTATTATTTCAAAAGAAATGTGTAAAATTATTTTAATATTTTTTCATTTAAATTTGTATAATATAATAGAAATTTATAAAAAATTATTATCTTAAAGATTAAATAATCTATTTAATATTTTTATAATTAATTATTTAGTCAGATAATTCGTAATTGATGTTGATTTATAGTTTTATTTTATAGATCAATTAAAAAGTCTGAAAATAATATTAAGAATTTTTCACAGTATGTACTATTATTACATGAAAGAAGACATAGTTGATGATGATCAAAAAGATAATATCGATCATTAAAAAGTCATATATGTCTTATACGTCTTCTATGTTATCTATAACATATATTTCTTTTATATAATATATTTTATTTATTTATTTTATTCATTTATGCTATAAATTTATTTTATTATATTTATCTCATATATTATATTTATTTCTTTTATTTCTTTGATAACTTTATATATTTATTTTATATAAATAGAGGACATTTTCTTTTAGCTTAATAGTATTATACCTAAAAATAATATGTAAAATGATCTACAAAGTTTAAAAAGGATGATCAGTTTATATAATGTGACTGGGTGTTAATTTTAACGATCGTAGATCTACAATTGTGTGATAAAATACAAATGTTAGTAATGTCAACATATTTAACATATCTAACATGTTCAATATAGCTAATATGTCTAACATATCAGATATGTCTAATATAATTAATATAGTAAATATAGTTAATATAGTTGATATAGTTAACATAGTTAATATATTAGATATATCAAAATATATAATATAATAGATATAAATACAACCTTTTTTGTTAATTAGAAGAGACAAGACCGATAGCTGTATAGAACCTTTCTCTTATAAAAGATAGCGTAACGCTACTCTTCACTTTATGTATCTCTATTTCTTATTTCTTTTTTCTTATTTCTTTCATATATTATTATTGTATTTTTTTCTTTTACTTCAATAAAGTATTTCTTATTTTTTATCTGAAACTCTTCTCAAACTTACCGTAAATACTTTTAACTTATGATTAAAACTGTTCATATCTAATAAACTTGATTAAATTCAATAAACTGGTAGCAAATTAGCCAAGATTATCATAAACTAACTGGAATTACTACGTAAACTATAAAAGAGTCAACCTTCTAATACTGTGTCTAATAATTGTAATCTAAAAAGATTGTACGTTAACATTTAGTGACGATGATAGGATCCTCTTTTCCTATTTACGTAATACTATGAGAAACACTCTATGAACAACTTCAGAGAATTGATAAAATACTAATGGAACTATTCAGCTATACACAATAGGCAAGAGCGTAATTTTAGAAAATCAACTGGCAATTTTAATTTAACAGATAGAAGTGTTTCTAGAAAAATCAGGTTCTGAGAAATTTTTGACTAAAATTAAGAACTTAATACATTTTAATCTAATAACATCAAAAACTAAAATGCAATAAAAATCTCAATTTCGCTAAAAAATTCCAGAATCTGATTTTCCTAGAAATGAATCCAAATGAGAGTAAAGATCAATTTTAGTCAGTCTGTAACTAAATGATTTCTATCTAACAGTTTGAAGAACCTAAAGATATAAGAGAACTATTTGTATAAAATTAAAGAAATTGTACATTAGTAAATTAATATTTTAAAGTATTTAGTCTAATAATTAATAAGTCATCAAAAGGAAGAACGAATAAGTTTGGCAGAGGTTTAGTCAAATATTATATAGGTGATATTAAAGTTAATAGAGTGATTTCTTATAATATAAGATATAAGAAACTACATAATAGTCTGTCACTTAGTTTATGAAATACTTTAATAATAAAACAGTATATTATAGATAATTGTATAGTGTAAAATTGATGTTTTTATTGTTATTTATATGAAATAAAAGTTGAGTTGTTAAATAAAGAGCATCTAGTATATAAATAAAGTAA